GAATTTCGTGAGTATTGTCATTGTTGTGTTGGCAGGGTTTATGAGGTTTGGGCAGGTATGGGTCAGTCCTGGGGTCTACCTTTGCGGCGATGTTCCCGGTGAGTGGAGAGCTGCGCTCATGCAGAGAGCGATGCTGAGTTTGTTCCAGGACAAGGTTGGTCGCGTCGTCGTCGATGGTTGGTTTTAATTGTATCTGGCCCAACCGTGATTGGTCTTACCACCCCGAGACAGGCGTCCTCGACATGGAAGCATGGTACTCAGCGAACCTAAGCACCGAAGTCGCCGACACAGACAAGGCTCTCCAACGCTTCATCGACGGGTGCTTCGCCGCCGGACCCGACGCCTGCGCCTTCTACGCCCCCTCCCCCGCTCAAATATCCGCAAACCTTCAATTCCTGCTCGACTCGGTCAAAACCAACCCCGTCCCGGTTGTGACCCCCATCTCCTACAACGTCCTCGTCTACACGCTGCTCAAGAACGCGATCTTTGACGCCCTGTACTCCGCGTCGACGCTCTTCGCGCCCCTCGCGCAGGGCCTCGCGGATTTGGCCGCGACGGGGAACGCGTCGACGATATACCGCGGCTTCGTGGAGGCGGGGCCGCCGTTCGACTGCGCTCAGGCCGGTGACAATTCCACGGCGAGCGGGTTCGACGACAGCTACGAGGCGGCGGTGTCGATTGCCTGTGGGGATGCGGTCGCGGTGAATGATACCGCGGCGGAGATACGTGAGTTCTACCTCCAGGCGCAAAAGGTGTCGAGTTTTGCGGATCTTTGGGCCACTTGGCGGGTTGTTTGCTCGTAAGTCTTAGCTTCGGTGAAATTTCAAATGGACGGTTTGACTGATGGCCCGCGGTTCGACAGTGGTTGGAAGGTACATCGCGAGGGGCGTTTCAATGGACCGTTCGGGGCAGTGAACACGAGTTTCCCGCTCTTGGTCATCGGGAATACAGCAGATCCAGTTACTTCAATCTACGGGTGTGTGCATACTATATACTAAGAGCGATTGCTCACTGACCTCATTCAGCGCGAACAAGACAGCGCACGCGTTCCCCGGGTCGGTGCTCTTGACTTTGGATGCCGTTGCAGTACCTCATCCCCTCCTTCCTGAACTTGAGCCCCCTCTAATCCATGTTTTTCCAGCACACCTCCGTCCTAGCACCCTCGACCTGCGTCCTCGGATACCTGCGGAAGTACTTCGTAAACGGCACCCTGCCCGAGGTGGGGACGGTCTGCACCCCGGATGACCCGTTATTCCCGAGCAATTTCACCCGCCGGGGATTGGCCCTGGACGAGCGGTCGAGGCTTCTCGAGGCGGGACGCGCGATTGGGACTGCGCACCGTCGGGCCACTTCGCGAAGGTCTCAGCTTTCGGGCTGATGTAGATTGGGGATATATTATCGTGGTGTTGAATCGTGAACCTAATTTATCTATGTATTTCGTCTGAGTACCAGTTACATACTTACATTGTTTAAGAGTTTAATTTTGAGTGCTCGCACACCATCGACCGATACCACACCATCGACCGATACATCCGTCAGAAAGTGAGCCCGGTGACGTTGGTTCCTTTCTAAACAGCTGCATCCAAAGAGCCGAGGATCCTGGTTCGAATCAGGGCGGGCCATGGCCTGTAGGTATAAAACACCTTTTTCCAGTCGAGTCACCCCGCTGGGTCGCTCGTAGTTCATTATTGCAGTCCGTGGCTATACATGTACAGTAGGTCGTAGCTACTCGTTCACATCGTCGTTAACAAAGTAGTACTCAAGCAATCAAGTTCAAATCAAATTCACATCGTCCGACTTCGCGCCGCCCTTGACCTCCCGCTCATCGCGTGCCCTCCGCGCGGCGGCCTCTTGCTTATACTGGCGCGGGAGGAGGAGGAGGCCGAGGCCGTAGATTGACCAGACCACCTTGGATTGAGATTGTTGTCAGCGCTTTGTGAAGGGACGGAGGAAAGGAGGATAGCGGGTGGCAGGAAAGGAACAGGATGAGATGGAAAGAAGACGAGAGGACGCACCACGACGATCCCGAGCCAAAAGTGCTGGCAGCGCGAGCTAACGGGGTGCACATTCCCAGTGATAAGCGCCCATTCCGTCCAAAGGCCGTAGTGCGTCTGGAATCGATATCAATCGAGTTAAAGATCAATCAGTATTGTGGTAGTAGACGCGATTGAACGAGCCAGGAATTGAACCCACCTGCCACGATGCCAGCGCGATGATCGCCAGCCCGAGGACGGCGTGGAGGTAATTCTGCGGGTGGCGCCCACCAGGGAAGCGGAACGGGAATTTGATCCAGTGGATGAAGGCGCCGAGGGACACTTGGACGAGGTACATAATCAGAAGCGCCAGTCCGACTTTCTGCGTTCACCGGCCATAAGAGTAAGAATTCCATACATTCATTCCGAAGAAAAGAAGACGAACCTGATGCGGATCGGTAAAGTGCGGGAGGCCGCTCGTCGTGGTCGTTTGGTAACCGAGGGCGAAGCCGGTGAGGATGAGCGGCGCGGTGACGAAGAAGTTCATGATTGCGTGGGGCCAGAACCAGCTAATACCACGCCATGAGCATTGTGTTGAACGCTCATGATGCGAAGCGGCACTCACTGGGGCCCGCGGATGAACGTCCGTAAGTATCGAGGGATGACTATGCCGAGTGGGAGGGCGACGAGGTAGGCGAAGAACATGATATGCGCGTGATTGCGCGCTTTGTTCTCGAACGACGAGAGGGGGAAGCTGAAGCTGGGGGTGGACATGGTGGGGTGTGTTGGTTGGTTGGTGTGGAGTGGATTGAGCAGATGCTGGTGGCTTTATACGACGCGTGGGTGTAGCGGGGGAGTGGCGTGAGACGAGGGACGTGCGAAGAATGGTACCGGGACGGCAATATGTCAGGAGCGCCGTCGGATAAGCTTTCCCGGTAGCAGTCGTCGAGTGCTAAGTCTTCGAGTGAAAAAGCCCCAGAAATTGGTCGGAGTCTGTGGGGCAGCAATTCGAATGACCAGTAAGTTTGCGTTGCGAGTCTCCCCAAAATTAGCCAGAGATAGGGGGAGCGGTGACCGTGTTTGCGCGCTCTATATACGAATCGTGTGAGGCGTCGCACCAAAAGCAGTAGCCGCGTCGAGGAAAGCATCCCACGTCACTTTATAACGAGCTTCCACCGTGAGGCGCGTCGTCCCTGAATAGGTTGACGAGGTAAATATACATCGTCCAGGTCGAAAACTAAACGGCCTGCCTTGCAATTGAACGGTACGCAAAAAGCGAGGTGAGTGAGGAGAGAGGCACCCGGAACTTTCCGAGCATAGCCACCCCGTCATTTCGTGCTCCTAGTTTTCTCAACTACACCACTTCAAAGCGACCGGTGTTCGCGCGCCGAGGCACAGCGTGCGAGCTAAGTTTATGTTTCTATTCAAAATGGTATCGTGGTTCCATTCCGCAGCATTAAAAAATGCCGCGTGTATTCAAGAAGTTGACAAGAACCAAGTTGTTGTTCGGATAGGTTAGAATACTACTTGAGTACTTCTCTGGGTGGCGCCTCGGTTGACGCCGAAGCCCATTCCTCGCTCAGAATATCACAGCTTCCAAGCTTTCACGGCTGTGGGATGGTTAGAGTCACTGTCCAAAAATGAGTCTTTGCGAGGAAGTTCCTATGGACCAGACCTCGAATCGAACGAGGCATTCCCGCTTATTTGTCTCTGAAATAATGCATTGGCTGCGGGTGCGAACATTCCGCTGCTGGCCCTCAGTTCAACTTGAAGCTTCCAGCCCTATCGCTTGCGATGAGATGACACCAGTGTTGTTATAATGTTCCCCCGCGAAGTTTGACGGCCCAAGTCTCAGATCAATGTATCACAACCGTGTATAATCTGCGAGTCGACTAGCGGGGCCCAGAAATACTGTACCATTTCGTTCAAATCGACAGTCACGCATCACGCACCCCCTTGTCGTTCACGAATTTTGGTCGAGGTAACGCGTCACGCCGGCCCATGTCGAATACGTCTGACGGTTCGTCACCCCCCAAAAAATTCCGGTCGACAGGAAATGAAAATTTTCTGGCCTCCCTTGATGCTGGGTATCATCAATTTGCTTATTCTGTTTGTTTTCAAGCCAGAGTTGCCTCTCTGGACTCGAACTTCCGCCGCCTGGTTGAATTTTTTGGTTGAAATAGCAGATTCACCAGCACCCCGCCAAAAAATATCCTTTGGATCCAACCAAACAGCCCAAATGTTGGCTGGATGTCCAGGATGCTGCCTGTATGACTTTGGGCCTATATCGAAATTTTTCTGCTGTCACGCACCTCTGGCGGCGTTGTCGAGATGTCGAACCGGTTGAAACCGTCACGCGTCACCCCCCGTGTCGATCTGAACGAAATGGTACAGTACATGGCTAGCAGTTAAAAACTAGGCCTGAAAAAGTGTCTCAACACCTACCGAACGACCCGTCCTGATTCGAACCAGTGTTGGTTAATGCTCAACCTATCCACAACCTGAGTATCAATCTGAACTTGGAAGCACCGTCTCCGGGCCCATTTTCTCTCTTCAATCTCCTCTGTGCCTCATTCGAATTGTCTTCGCGGCCGCCATAACAACGGCATGACGGCGGCATCGCTCCAGCATACCCCGGTAAACCCTCCAGAGTTCAACATATCGAGTCCCATCCCGCTGGCCGTAAACTGCTGTCAGTGCATTCATTGTCATAAGCGATACGAGCCACTGGACGCGGTGACACTGGTATCTGATGGCGGGAAGGAGCGCCGAGAGGTGTGCTGCCCAATACTGCAGTGTCCGGACTCCGGACTCCCATGCGACGCCGACCGTCGTTCATTACTGCTTGGGCTTCTTGCCCTTGTGGTTTATCCGTCAACCTCCCGCTGGACTCCTTAGAAATGTCCGGTGTCTGATAATTCAGTTCAGACCCCCCGACCCATGCGTGGGCTCGTTGTGACTCGGACGCCAGTAGAACGTCACCGAAACTGAACATAAAAAAAATTCTTGTTAACGTCCGTGGGCAAATGGCCCGTGCTCGAGTCGAACGAGCGTGTCCCTGCTTAACTCTCAAACAACGAAGGACATCATATCGGAGGCGGGTGCGGACCTTCCGCAACGGGCCTTGGGTGAATGCCTGGGAAATTTGGTGGGAGGGGCTCGAAATGCCACGAGAGGTATTGCCAACTGTGAACGAGGCAAAGTCCGGCGGAGATAATGAATGAATATCAACACGGCAAAAAAACAAAGGAGATCTTCCCGCAAGTGCCCTAGGCTCGAGTCGAACGAGCTTGCTCTGCACATCACCCTTAACCGACATAGTGAACACAGATGCGGACCGTCCGCAACCAGGGCATGTATATCCTACTCCTTGAACCGGGAGACGACACCCGCATCGATGTTCCGTAACGGGCCTTGCTGAAACAGTTGGTGACTCAGAGACGGGTCAACAAATCATGGCCTGCATTCGATTCTGCGGCCGGTTCGATTCCGTGCCCAAGTCATCGGTGTAGGGCAAGCAGAATTACAGCTGTTTGCAGAATGGATGACAGTCGGCCCGAAAGCAAACAATCAAAGATCCTTGATCCGTCGTTTTGCCGGGCTCTTTTCGAACCCAAATCTCAACCGATTTCTGACATTCGACTTGTGCTAGGAACGGCAGAAGCGGGGCTACAATTCAGTATAGTTCTGGTCTTCTAATTGAGAGTTCTAAGGAAGTTGAAAATTGCTCCCAGTGTTTACTCCTTGATGTTGAATTGATCAATAATCACTCAATTCTGATCCGATTTTGATGAATCCATATGTATCCAGAAGGTGGAGAATGGGAGAATGCATATATGTGCAGACATAATGCTTTTCTCATCAGGCAACCTTGCGCAACCTTGTTCTCAGAATATCTTCTCAATGTGGGGTTGCCGCCAATGCCGAATTGTGCCGACGGAATTTGAGACATCCTAATTGATTGCCACCATGCTAGTGTCACAACTGTCCAAAATCATGGGGATTGGTTGAAAAATGAGTAAGCTGTGAATGGAACAACGCGTAGGGTGAACCACCCAGCGTGATTTTTGGTGTCAGTAAGCTATTTGAATTATCTCACCAATAGGGTACAGTTTGAAAGGCTGGTTTACGTTCTTGGTAATGCAAAAACAATCAACAAGATCGAGAGAGAAACAATCGAGAAATGTGCGCCGCAAGTGAGTGCATTGAAAGTTTTCTTTTCATTTTATTTTTAGTGACTGTCATCAATTCTGCAAACAGCTGTAATGAAGGAATCACTCGGAAAAAAAACACACATCTCCACTCCGAATGCCCCAAGCTCGAGTCGAACAAGCTTCCTCTGCCGTAGAGCATCTTGCTTGCTCCGTACTGCTGGGTGCAGGGGCGGACCGTCGGCGACAAGAGCACACCATCCTCGTCTTTGAACCGGCGGGACAGCCTCCACCCCAGTAAAGCCTACTAATTAGACCCCCTCCTGAGAAAAAGGCACGCGGATCTAATATGGCCTGTGCTCGCGAGTCGAGTCGAACGAGCACATCCCAGCTGGAGTCTGAAATGAGGAAGAGTATTGGATGCAGGCGCAGACCCGTCCGCGACAGGTCTTGATTGATTGCTTGTACAGACTGGGTGGGTTCAAACCAGCGCGGAGAGAGAACCAATAAGGTATCCGAAGTATTTGCCATGGATTCAGGGCCATTAGTGTAGGGCAGGTATAATCAATGAATGAGTAAATGACTCAACGCCGTTGACAAAACCTGACTCTTGCATGGCATATGCCTCGAGCTCGATTCGAACGAGTCTGGTCCACAGAACATTGCTGTCCCAGCTATTGAAGACAGATGGGGACCTTCCGGAACCGGAGCATGTATAGCGTACTCGCTGAACCAAATGATATGTGAATTTTAAACGCTCGTTGAAGTTGAACGCGATCACAAAAAATGTGCAGGGACCGCGGTTCGTGATATGGCCCGCGCCCCGAGAGAGCGTGATCTGCACTGATTCCGCAGGTGATCTGCCAAACAGAAGCTGCCAATCTTGACCTGAACGCAGATGCGAACCGTGCGCGACGGGCCATGGTAAAGTGCTTAGTTTTTGGTAAGGTGGCGGTCGAAACAGCACTGACTAACCTCTCGGCCACTGATCCATTTCTGCATCCCGTCAATACACATATATGGGTGAGTTGAAGGAATGAGTGAACTCTACACTGGGAAAAAAAAACATAAAAAAAAACAAAGCACGTCCCAACATGCCCCGGGCTCGGGTCGAACGAGCGTAAGTACGTTAGCCAACCAATCAATATTGAACGCAGATGCAGATGGTCCGGTCCGCAACCGAAGTGCTTTAGCTCACCGTCCCGGGCAGTTCACCTCACGTTGACAGCCCTATGTAATAATTGATTGAACACGCGCGCCGCGGCGCCGCGGCGCGTGCCAGGGCCAACAAGATGGATTGGATATATCGAGGAGGGACCGCACAGGGCATAAAATTATGCAAGAGCGTTGTCGGCACAAAGGCGCGCTTCAGATGGTGGGTGGGTATGCCGGAGTAAGGACTCCGCCCCGGAGCTTTAACATTCGGAATGTTCCCGAACGGCGGCAATCACATTCTCCCAACGCCGATCTTTTAGCGCCCACCATTGCCCACCATGCCCTGTCGACCGTCTCCCTTGCCCCTCACGCGAAGCCATGCACCCTCCCTGTACGACGGATGCCTCATTTGGCCCTGTGTCCTCCTGCAGAAGCGTCGACTTAACGCTGTATTTTGAGCAGACGTGCGGGTTTCCCTTCTTCCACGCGCTCCATTCACTGATCCTCGCTGTCCTCGAAAAGTATCCTGTGTTTCGCGCCAGATTTGACATTTGTTCTCCTTGCTCTCGTCCGCCTCTGGTACCTTCAGAATCGTCCCAAGCAGCCCACCACAACCAGGGGTACAGCACTCCTAGCGTCCAAGGGCTGCGCGGTTTTGTTGGTCCTCGCCTCTGCCATCAGCGCCCTGGTTTACAGTCGTAACTACCCGTCGGTATTTGTCTGGCTTCCAGCCTCAATTATGCACTCTGTATCGGCGGTGAGTGTCCCGGTTTCTACGTTTTTTTTTGGCCTGAATTGAGTTTAGTTCGCTTTATCCGCCCTCGCATTGCTTGAGCATCGGTTCTCGCCCTCGCCAAGTACTCTGGTACTCTCGTATGCATTCATCCGGGGGCTTTGTGCCGCCACTGTTCTCCGCTCCGCTGTGAAGATCGGCGTTCGGAGTCCCGACGTAGGAATATGTGCGATCACCGTATCGGCATACTTTCTGGTCTTCGGTGTTGAACTGATTCCTAAGCCATATAAAAAGGTGGAGACCTCGATGATTGGACCGCTAATGACTGGTGTAATGAATGTCAGTCCAGGGGTCGTCTGTGCTATCAAGATCGAGCTTCCTTGCGAAATCTCTCTACTTGTGGTTAATCCCCCTTCTCTGGACTGGTCGGAAGAAGAAGCTTCGAATCGAGGACTGTGGTCCCATCCCAGAGGAGTTCGGCGCCGTAGCCACTCGGGAACTCCTCCTCAACGTGACTCGGTCCGCCCCAACCTCCTGCTCACACCCCGGCGCTAACCTATGCTCGTCCAGGACCGGGGGTTCAAATCACCTTCTTCGCAACTCGTTACTGGCATTTCCACTAACATTCCTCGCACCCGTGTTCCCTCGCATCTTGTTGATTCTAGCCACCTTCTCACAACCATTGCTGGTGTCGAACATGATTTCGTACATCGCGGAGTCCAATCCGGACCCGCAGCTGGGCTGGGCACTCGTCGGAGCGTACGCGTGCGTCTATGGCCTGATCGCATTGGCGACTTCAATTTACTGGGAAAAGGTGAGTACGACGTGGCTTGGGGATTCCGAATCTGAAGGTTCTGGCAGGTATTCGATGGCACTGTTCAGTATCGCGGTGGCCTTGTGGGAAGTATCTACGCCAAATCCCTTCGATTGTCGTCGGCCTCGGCACGCGAACTAGGGGGTGGCGTAGCTAGCACATATATGTGAGATTTCAGATCACTCGGTCGGGCTTTCCCGTGTTGTCTCTGATTCACCCATGCGCAGGTCCGTGGATGTGGAACGCATCTGTCAAGGACTAGAAATTCTGCATGAAACCTGGGCTGCCGTCGTGTCAATCGCTTTGGCGATACTGCTTCTCTATTCCCAGGTGCGCAAATTGTAGGCATCTTCTGCGCGAACGGGGGGCTCACACACTAAACTTGAAGGCGACATGGCCGGCATTCTTCCCCTTGGCCATCACCTTCCTCTTCTTTGGCGTCGCTGCGTATGTGAGCCGCGGCGTCGGCGCATCGCAGGGACGATGGTTGGGTGCCACCGACAAGCGCGTGAAGTATCTCACTTCCGTACTTCACAATTATCTCCCGATGAAGTGGGCCAGATATGAACCCGCCGTTAGCAAGCGGGCGGCGCAGCTACGCGCGCGGGAGATGCAAGGGGCCCATTCGTTCTAGTACGATTTCGACTCCTTTACTTTGCTGGTGTTCGATATACTGATCTCCGCCAGCAACAATATCTGTATCACAGGCGCGCTTTCGGCCACCGCGGGTATCGCATGCAGTCTTTCGGTGCTTGGCCCCTACGCCGCTCTCTCCGCTCACGGCCATGGTAGTCTTGATCCCCAGCGGATGTTCACTATTTTCGCTACTATGAGCCTTATGACTGGACCCTTGGATTTGATCGGTGAGAGGATTCCGTCGCCCCTCGAGATGGAATAATTCACTGTTCCATTCAGGTAGCTATCTCCCGTCGCTCATGGCTGCCTGGGCGTCGTTGAAACGCATCGAACGGTATCTTTCGTTGGAGGAGAAGCGTATACCGACGCCTGACCACGGGGAGAAAGGAAGGGTGTCGAGTGAGAAGCACATAGATCTGGATATCCGCCTCGAAGGAGCGTCCTTTGCGTGGGCGCACGGTAAACCATCGACTCTCGGACCACTGACTCTCGCATTGAGACACAATCAACTGCATATATGCCTCGGTCCGATTGCATCAGTAAGGTGTCCTTTGCTGAGCGAATTCGATATTCTAATGTCCTCCTTCTGGCAGGGAAAAACTACGTTCCTGCTCTCATTGCTTCGTGAAACCACT